ATTTTTGAAAATCTTCTCATAGTCTTTTCTTGGTGCAAGACCATGTGTGGATCTTCCTTCACCTGTTTTGCTTTTTGAAAGGATTATGTACTTTTTCTCATGGATCTTATTAGTTAATATACTTGCCTTTGTGAAATTTCAACCACCCTTCATAGAAATGAATTACTTGGTGGGTGATTATGTTGTACATTCTGCTTTTATAGGACTCACACAACCAAGCTGGTATTGCCCACAGTGGTGGTGTATTGCCATTGCTGAAGCTTCTTGATTCCAAAAATGGTTCTCTACAGCATAATGCTGCATTTGCTCTTTATGGGCTGGCAGATAATGAGGTATCGTGTTTCTGTAGGTTACCAGTTATGATTTTAGCTCATTTCGTGCTAAAAAAGATTTAGCTTCAATTTGGTGATTTTACTCATGCCACTTGAACTTATTATCTTTGGTAATTTTTTTATCTAGGATAATGTTGCAGATCTTATCATGGTTGGAGGTGTTCAGAAACTTCAAGATGGTGAATTTATAGTCCAGGTACCGTTTCTACCTATTTGAATTTTGTGATAACAGATATATTGATTACTGGTTTGATTACATGGCTGTATATCCTGTCATGGGTAGGTTAAAGTAATTTCTCATTTTTCTTTTACCACAGCCAACTAGGGATTGTGTAGCGAAGACATTGAAACGACTTGAAGAGAAAATTCACGGACGAGTGAGTATCTTTGCTGCATCTAAATATGTGAAGAGGCATGAATATTTATAATTTTTTCAAGTGCCAATAGTGGCATATCATGGGCAAAATCAAGAGCTTGAACTTGAACTCACTAGTTATTCATAAACAATATGTAGATACCTGGAGAAATACAATATTTAGATATTATTGGAGGAAATGATCAAGAAGTCATCCCTTGTTTATTGAGTGCTCCAATTGTTTTATATATACAAATTATGTTCCCTGCCGATCACTTTATATACTGTGCCTGGTAGGTTTTGAGTCATTTGTTGTACATGATGCGTGTTGGAGAGAAAGTTGTTCAAAGACGAGTGGCCTTGGCCCTTGCTCATCTCTGTTCTCCAGATGATCAAAAGACAATCTTCATTGATAACAATGGTATATTATTTGTCAAATTTCTCTGTGAAGTTGCATTGCTGCTTTTTCATTCACTGGCCTCCTGAAATATATCCCAATTACCTGCTTCGTCTACGATCTGTTCTTGCAGGATTGGAGTTGATCTTGGAGATTCTGGAATCAACTAACTTGAAGTACCAAAGAGATAGCTCTTTGGCTTTATGCAAGGTGGCTAGTAAAGCCAGCTCACTTTCTCCTGTGGATGCAGCTCCTCCCTCCCCGACACCCCAGGTTCTGATTATGATCATTATTTTGGATGTGGCATCCATGTTTTTGTTTTGTCAGTCAGTCAATCAATCTATGTAATGTTTTTGCTTCAGGTTTTTAGCAGTTTTGTAATTTGCATGTCTTTTCAGCACTCTAACTCAAATATTAGGAGTTTTTAAACTAGACAGAGAAAACTGAAAGAAAATACTATCATTTTGCTTAACTAGAAATAATCAGTCAATTAAGCATATCAAATAAACTTGTTGCTATTTGAAGTTTGAAGCTAGAAACAGTGAGTTGTTTTGAACTTTTCGGAGACATGTTCGGTCAGCAGAAATGTAGTTTTATATAAATTAAGATTACTAGTAAAGTTGTGGAAGCAAAAGTTTTATATTTCCATCCCAATGATTTCCCGCAAAAAGCATGCTGCAAATGCCATGGAATCATGTGATAAATTATAAATATCCCCATTTTATCAACTTGTTTGTTTGTGTGCATTCTGAAACACTGCTGCTTGTAAGCAAAACCTCAATAGAAGTTGATCTATTTTCAGCTTTAACTCTTCTAATCTTTCTCAAGGAAATCCTTTCTCATTAGCAATAATTTTTACTGCTGCTCGTATTGCTTTCCTTAGCATAATTTTTATGGTGTCTTGCGTTGCTTTCCTGATTTTTTCTTTAGCTCTGCCATTTTTCATGCTGTATACACTTCCTTGTGGAGAGAAATGAATGCTTATCAATCTTTACTTTTGTATAACTGTTAGTAGGCCCTCTTAATTGATGGGTGACTAAGATGTTAATGTTTGTGGAATGCTGGAAGAAATGTCACTTACCTATTGAAGTCTTATGTTTTGAACTCTGCTCATATAGCTAATGTTATCTGCGTGATGGTATTTCACATCTTTTTGATACGTTGATGTATTATTATTTTATTTTATTTGTAGCAAGTAACTGTGCTGTCCTTGTTGCTACAGGTGTATTTGGGTGAGAAATTTGTAAATAATCCTACATTGTCTGATGTGACATTTTTGGTTGAAGGTGGCAATCTGTTCTCTTGTTTGCACGTGGACTTTATGTGAATGCTCATGTTGAGCTATTCCATATGATATTCTCAACATTATTTTGTTTTCTGTCTTCAGGCAAAACGTTTTATGCGCACAGAATTTGTTTACTTGCTTCGTCTGATGCATTCCGGGCAATGTTTGATGGTGGATATCGGGTGAGCATTGTTTTGGACTTAATACCTATATGGTCCCTTTTTCTAATATGTTGGTTGAGCGCTCACATTTTCTGCCTCGTGTAGAAGAATATATCTTATACAATCACGCAGTGAATGTACAATTGTTACACTTACACTGTACATGTATGTTACACCTTCACTTTCAGCAGCCAGCTAAGAATAATGCGCACGATCTACATC